AGTCTCTTTCGGGCGATGGAAGCTCCCCAAGTGCAGTCACCAGCCACATCGATCGGCCGGTAGAAGCGGCCTCGGGGTGAGCGCACACACACACTCCCCTCGCCAAGAGGCCACTTCTACCGGCCGATCAAAGTGGCTGGTGACTGCATTTGAGGAGCTTCCATCTACCCTTTTCTTCTCCTACCTAAAGCATAAACTTATGAAGTTAATAGTAAGAGTTGGAAGGACCTTGGAGGTTATCTAGTCCAACTCCCTACTCATGCAAGTGATTTATACTATTTCTGACAAAGGGCTATCACAACTTCTGAAGGCAATTAGTTCCACTGGTTGAAGGTTCTCACTGTTAGGAAGTTGCTCCTTAGTTCCAGGTTGCTTCTCTCCTTGATTAGTTTCCATCCATTGTTTCTTGTCTTGTCTTCAGGTGCTTTGGTAAATAAGTTTACCCCCTCTTCCTTATGGCAGCCCTTCAAGTATTGGAAGACTGTTGTCATGTCATTCCTGGTGCTTCTTTTCACTAAACTAGGTATATCCTGTTCCTGCAATCATTCTTTGTATATTATAGCTTCTAGGCCACTAATTATCTTGCTCTTCTTGGTACTCTTTTCGAAATCTCAAGATCTTTTTTTGTATTGGGGTGACCAAAACTGATCCTTATAAAGTGGTACTATTACTGTTATATTCTGAGCATGGGTGCAAGTAATTGAGACGAGTCAGTGACTTAGTGAACTTCAACTCTTTATTAAAGATCAGAACAGAGAGCAAAACCATGGGGCAGCAATAGCCCTTTTATAGAGCTAGCTACTTACCTGTTAACCAATGACCTGTGTCCAAATGCTTAACTTTTGCCCAATGAGAGATGTTAAACTAATAGCCAATCAGGTTGCTCCGTGAGGACCAATCCCAGTTCGCTATCCAAGGGCCAATCCAAGTGCAGGATTTCAAGCCTGCTTAACATAATGTTAATAAGTTTTATTAAATGATTTTTGTTAGTTCATAACAATTACTTTGTGTGATCTTGATTCTATCCCTCTGTTAATGCAATCTAGTATTGTATTAGGTTTTTTTGGCTGCTGCTGCACAATGTTGGCTCATGTTTAGATGGTTGTCCACTAGGATCCAAGATCTTTCTTGCAGTTACTACTATTGAGCCAGGTTTCACCTAGTCTGTGCCTGTACTTTTGCTTTTTCTTCCCTAAGGGTAAGATCTTGCTTTTCTCTATGTTAAATTTCATTTTGTTAGATAGGGCCTAGTGTTCAAGGCTGTTGACATCTATCTGGATCATGATATTCTGAGCAGGGGTGAGATGCATATATTTTTATTATCGGTTCTGTGGGCATGGCTAGGTGGGAGTTGCCATGTGACTGTGTGGGTGTGGCTTCTTCTTTTTGCAGCACCCCCCCCCCCGCACTCCATTTTTTTTTT